GAACATGGTTGCTCTCGATCATGTCACCTGGCAAGAACAGGGACTTGGACAAATCAAAGGCAAAGAGGTGCTCCTTGTCTCCCTTGATTGAAGTGTCGGCTAGGGATGTCCTTGCCCCAGTGCTTTAACTTAGATTGCCAGGTAGGAATTCCCTCAACCTCTATAACCTGCTCAGTCTTGAGCTTAGCCATGAGCTCGGCCGAAAGATCAGCTGAGTGAGCCCTTTTGCCAGCTTGATGAGATTTTGTGTGGCTAGATGGGACAACGGTGGAGACCAAGGCCAACACAATTGTTGAACTTTGCCCGGCAAATAACACTGGTGGTAGAATGCCGCTCGGTAGCTCGGAAAAGGTGGCAGTAATGAGGTTCTTGATCTGGTTTCTCTTTGTTATTTTTTCTTCTTCAGTCAATCGGATTAGAGAAATGTTTGGAAGGGATGGATCTGGAGGAGGAGATGGCCCTGAAAGGAAGTCTATCACTTTGCTTTTTCGCTTGGCTAAGTACTGGTAGCTCGGCACGTAACCAAGGAGTTCGTGGTAGCCGCATTTCTTGTACCTTAACACTGTTCTAACTACCTCTTCGTTGGGTAAAGGGTACAATGCTTGCAGCTTGGTGATATCTACAAAAGAAATCTGTTAGCTTGGCAATGTAAGACCACATAAATTGATCGGTTAAGGAGTTCCGCTTACTTATTGAGCCCTTGTCTTGGCTAATATACCAATCGAGCACATCGGCGATTTCATAGTTGTCTGTTACCCAGAAGAAGTCGTCATCGTGAAGGTCTTTATTCGGCGTACCGGTTACTAGACGTTTTTGCCCGGTCTTATCTTTAAGTACCAGTTAAATCCATCGCTTGTGTGACCAAGCGTGTGTTGGCGCAGTATCTTGCCAATCCTAGGTTTAAACCGAGCTAATGATTGAGCTCGATAGCTCCATTGATTATTCTAAAAGTGTTGGTGGATACTTGTATAGGGCACAACCCGGTGCTTCTTAAGAACTCGCACATTAGAGGCTAAACCAAGAAGCGAATCCCCTTTTCTATGATAGATAGCACGATGAGTGGCAAGAATTTTGTCTGCCCTAAAGAAGGAACCCCTCTTTATCGAGCTCGAAGTGTACGTCGTCTGGAATGTCGTACTCGTCACAGAACTCGGCTAATGCACTCGGCTTGTTTACTAGGAAGCGATATCGCTCCACGTAACCCGGTGTAATTTGCTCGGCAGAGTGTGTTGGTCAAATTATGCAGCGAATCCTCAATCTTTGAGAGTTTTTGTGTTGGTGTGCCTGGTCTCTAACGATTATGTATAGTGAAAAATCACAATTAAGTGCAAGTGATAGCGCGGCTGCACACATGAGCACTATTTTAGCTCAGTCTTGTAGCTAAGCTGGATTTTAGCTCGGTCGCATAGACGATTTGGGTTTTTACTTGGTCGACAAATGAGTTAAATTATAGCTCGGTTGTGCCATAGGGTGAGTTCTAGCTCGGTTTCATAAGCATGGTTGGTCTTAGCTCGGCTATACACAAACGAGCCAGATGTTAGCTCAGTTGCCCGATCTCCAAATTTGTTTGGTCCGCAGCTCGGTTTCTTCCTTAGATGTCACAAACCTGAAATTTGTCCGGCTAGGTTATGATTTTGGATTAAAAGGTGATTTTTTGCTCGATTTGGTCCAATTCTTTCTCTGTTCATCCCAGAGGATGAACTGTGCATTGGAAAACCAAGGGTTAGGGGTCGTTAATACTAGAAATAGACGCAAACTCGTGTTTACCCTAGTTTTTAGTGGGTTTTGGTTATGTTATTATCTTTTATATACAGATAACATAGTGAAACCAGAGATGAAGTTAGAGAACACTTACGGAGATGAAGTATTTACGGGCTAGAGCTTCAATTGGTAAAGGATGCATCAGCGGCAGAGGTGATATAGAATCTCACAGAGAAATGCTTCGATTTGGGCACAAGACGCAAGGAATCAAGGCTGGATGCTCTAGTGTGCTGGGTATTCCGTTGGAGATGGTGATGAACAGTAGTAAGTAGGTAGTGAGTAGACGGCCGTATATATGCCTTGCACTCGAAGGGGTGCCAAGATTTGAAAATTTTCTTGGGAAATCGCGCCTATCATCATAACAAGATGATACGTGTTCCCCTGAGAAGATGTTGCGTTAGTGCAGTAGGGCGTACCGTGCTCCTTGAAGCGTAAGATTCGCACCGAGCTCCTTGGAGAGCAAGATTTGTGCCGTGTAGATCAGTGGACCGGGTATGGAGTTAAGCTCAGCTAGTTATGGTAATCCGGCTCATACTGAAGCATACCAGATTAAGGGGCAATTAGGAGGGGATTTTTTGTCGTGCTAAAAGGGTTGAGTTAAGATAGGCCGAGATTGGCCCAATGCTTTGTGGATAGATGGGCCAAACTGAAGATATAGACTTGAGTTTGCTAACCAAGCTCCCTTATCTCGGTTAGCGGTATTCATCAAGTGGCCCGAACTGAGCCTACCGAGCTGTGGTGAGCTAAGTAGAATTGGGCCATAGTTGAAGGCAAGGGCAGAGCACTTGCATGTTGCCAACCAAGCTGGTAGCTCGGTCAAGCTCTAAATGTCAGCACGACGAATGGCAACACATTGCATGACTTGCAGGTGAGGGTCATGGCCTTAATTGGATTATTGCTACCTCGGTTAAGGATGGCTCAGGTGGGTGTTTCTCGTGCCCTAACAGTTAGTGGGGGACAAATAGTTACCTATTCACGTTAGTACTGTTTTTGACAAATACATGCATGTAAGGGAATAACGTAACATAATATCCTTGCCCCAAGACGATGGAGATAATACGCACTACTTAAAACCCACGAGTTCATTCTGAATGGAAAGCAATCTTGAGCCAAAGAACTCTCTCATTCTTCTATATTCTCTGAGGGTACTGACTTGATCGTCAGAGGGGTTTCCGGTGAGACACTCACTGGTTAGCTCACTTCCGTTGTGTTTGTAAGAGAGATGACGCTGTTTAGAGTGACACGAATACGGAGGCAAGGAGTATGGAAGTGAAGAATATTTACTCCCCGTACAGTTACCGTTATAAGTAGAAATATTGAATAAAAAATTTATTAAAATATTGAAATGATAATATTAACATAGTAAAACTTTACTATTAATTTAAAATAGAGTCAGCAAACAAAAGACAAATCAAATGTTGCTATATCAAACTAGAGTAAAATTTTACTCTAAAATAGAGCATATCAACCAATAAAATTAAGCTACATATTACTAGAGTGAACAAAAGTAAAGTTAATATAACACAACAAACAAAAAATTGTTATTCAATTAGACTCAATAAAAATAATCATAACAAAGGAAATACACATTGTTCAATCTTCAATCTTAGTAATTTTTTTTATAACAATTATTCAGTCTTTCATCCATAGAAGCAAATGAAATACACATCTCTGGACGGTTTAATCGCAAGTTTCAATCCAAACAATTGTCAAAATATAGCAAATAAGGTTTGAATTATAACAATTATCGAAATTCTATGATTCGATTGTGAAACCATCTCATGCAATCTTATAGGAATTTTCAACTTGGAATATTGAAGACGATATGCATAGATTTAAGTACATCTATATGTATATGTATAATGCTATTCTATTCAAGTTATGTTATTTATGAGGTTAATTATCATAAATGACATAAATCAATATTATGAGAGTCCTAACAAAAAAAAAGTTGAGTTATAACTAAACATTATGTAAGAACAATTGATATCATAATGTGTCACAACTAATAGCATAATATGTCATAACCATTGATATAAAGTTCATAACCAATAGTGTGTATGGCCATAGAATTTCTCTATATGAATGTATCAAGAGAGTTTATCATGTTGATGGTTGAAAGAGGAAGAGAAAGTAATGAAAGATAAAGACAAAATTTTCTAAAATAAAAAGACATGTTTTTCATGTCCTTAATCCATAATAAATTTTTTTTAAAGGACTGTATGCATTAGATTATATTTACTTGTCCTTTTAACACTACACAATTATACTAAGGGACTTTTGACTAAAATTTTAATATTATTATCTAATCAATCTAAAATTTGAGAAAAACGGATTGGATTTCAACTTCAATTACCTCACAATATTTTATAATTTATAATAGTATAGATTAATATTTTTAAGGTTAGAATCATCAATTCTTTTAAAATGTGTATCTTATCTCACATTTAGATTAGCTTAGGATTATAATGAGGGATGAATAAAATCTTATCAACTTCATAATTTAACTAATTAGTTCGAACATTTTTAAATGCTCCATTTTATATTTCACTCCCTCTCTTGAAATTCAATAACCTCCCAATGAATTATTAATGTGAACCCCAATTTTGTAAGCCAAACATCGAGGCTAATTTTATGTTATAAAAGAACAATTGTAACACTTAAAATCACATATTTTTATTCACATGAGATTTCAACCCATAATCTCCATCGTGGAAGTTGAGGAATAAATTTTTGTTTTTACATTCTCCACCATAACTTTAATAGGATGTGTCCAAGGTCATGATGATGAAAGATAAAGTAAAAAGGACTAATGGTAAAATAAATAAATAAATAAATAATAAAAAAAAAGTGGCTAATACTCTGAAGCAATCTTTTGACTGGGGCCACAATAAAACAACTCCCGAAACCATCGGAAATTTCGGCATGATGGGCCCAGATAATCACTAACTCAAGTTGGACCCCTTCGCTCCATACACTTACAAATCAACACACAATTATATGGTTTCACAAATATCATATTGCTCAGTCCCACATTACTTTCTCTTTACTTTGTCTTCCTTTTTCTTTCTAATTTAAATTTTGGGCTGGTCGTAAAGAAGAGGTATAATCCCATCCCACCGACGAACACCTCATTCTCCATGTCTTTCCCTCGCATTCTTTATTCTTTCCCTCCAACAACAACAACACCACCACCAACAAAGAGACCATTTTTTTTTCATTCCATCAAAATTTAAGAAATGGGCAATTGCCTATTTGGAGGGATGGGAGGAGGAGAGGAGAATGAAGTGGTAAAAGTAGTAAGATCGGACGGCGGGATCATGGAGTTCAGGGGTCCGATAGTGGTGGAGTGCATCACAGATGAGTTTCCAGGCCACGGAATCTTCCGGAGTCATGATCTTTTCTGGAAACCATTGGCTCACCATGAAGTCCTTCTAGCAGGAGAATCATACTATCTCCTCCCACTCAACTGCAAAGGTCTAGGTGGTGGTGGTGAAATTGTCCAAGTTGGCCATGTAAGGTCTAGCAGTTACAATGTGCCTCCTCAATCACTAGTCACTCCTTATAGAATGTCATGCGACGGTCGAAGCGTGTTGAAGAGATCATACACAGAGGTGTTCTCCAGACCCTACAAGTACAACAATGGAGGTAGAGTTTGGAAGGTGAAGCTGGTTATCAGTCCAGGACAGTTACTGGAGATACTGTCACAGGAGACTCGAACACAAGAATTGATTGAAAGTGTAAGAACTGTTGCGAAATGCAGAAATATTGGGGTTTCGTCTCTGGGATTTTCGGAAGAGTGGAGTCTTTCCAGCAGCAGCTTGAATGCTTCCTCCAAGCAAGATGGTTTATTGGAGATTTAGACATACATGTCCTGACCCCCCCTTTTTTTTTCTTTTTTCTTTTTTTTAAATTTCTTCTTGTTTTTGTTCTCTCTCCCACTCTCTCACTTTAATCTTTACTATCTTTCTATTGCATGTTAATCATTCAATGCCTTTTTTCAATTGGAGTTGGATTTCCGCCCATAATCAGGAGTGGAGGGTACTATCCGTAAAATGCTTCATTTTTATTTTTTTGTGTATGTGTGTGTGTATATCATCTCTAAAATAATATTAGATTGATTTGATAATTACATCATATTTGTATTTTGAAAAAATAAACGACAATTATATTTTTAAAAAGAAACAATTCATTTTTATGGTCACAAATGCGAAAAATTGAATAGATTACGATCATCAAATTAATCTAATTGTGTGTGTGAATTATATACACAAAAAGTTATACAAAAACAAACAATTTAAATCATCGAAATGAAACTCATGTTGAACTCCACGGGTATGAACAATACCCTTCAATTCAAATTATGAGGGATATGCTAGTTTGTATGTCTTTCTCAATAGAATTTATTGGTGTGCTATATATGGAAGTACTATTTTACAAACACATCAGCATGAGTAGTGCTGTTCAGGTGTAAAAATTAAATTAATTTTTTTAAATTTAATGGTATGATAATTTATTAGAAAATTTAAGGAGGCGCTCACTCTTATATGTTCTCAAATTATTAGTCAATCATATCTTTTACAAATTATTAAATTTATATATCACTTTATTTTCAGCATTCATGGAAGTGCAACTCATCTCAACTATTGTCCAAGGTCGCATATTTATATTTGTATGTAATGATGTGATTTATAATAAGGATTTGTAGCATGATATTTGTACATATGTAATGCTGTCATTTAGAATAAGGATTTATAACATGATTTTTGTTTATTTATTTATTTTAACATGATGGTCCATCTTGTGGATTTGTAGCATGATAGACAAGTATGATTGTAATAAACAACAATATTATAAATTTAAAATTTTTAATCATAAATTTATTTAGAAATATATAGCTTACATTTAATCTATACATCGTTATCACATTTTATTCTTTAGATCTCAATCCTTCCTTCACATTCTGGTTCATTCTCTTTTCTCAATTTCTAGATATCAACTTTCCCTATGACCAATAGCTGCCTTCATGCCCTTTAGTCTAAATTTAGGATAATTTCACTTACTCCACACTTTCAACTATTCGTATCTTTTAATTTTAATTTTTATTACATTTTTATTCCATGACTACCACCTCCACCGTTCCACCACCATCATCGTCTCTCCGTTACCGCCCCTCTTCCACCCAGCACTTTTAGGCCTCACCTTACCATCCTCATTTCCTTTCTGGCAACCCCCAACCTAGACGCCCTTCTCGTCACCACGACCTAGCTCTGTTCCGTCACCATGACCTAACCTCTCCATCATATCCTTATCGGTGACCCCCTCTCCAGCTCTTTTTCTCCTATTAGCAACCTCATCTTCTCTAACTAGCAATGCCCCATTGGCGACTCCCTTCTTAGCCTGCTTCTTCCTACTCCCTAACTCCACTTTCCTACCTTGACCCCCTCACTACAAGAAATTAAACTTTTGGCGACCAAAAAATTAGTCGGTAAAAGTCCATTTTTAGTCTTCAAAAGTTTTCCGCGACTAATTTTTTTGGTTGCCACTTTGGTCACCAATGGAGGGTCGGGAACAGTAATTAGCAGCCAAAAAAAAATTTTAGTCAGGAAAATATTCTATTTTCCGACTAAATTTTCGGTTGCTAAATATATATTTATTGTGACTAAACCATTTTTGTAGCTAAAACACTTTAGTCGCCAAAAGTGATATTTTCCCAACTAAATATGTTAGTCGCTAATTGTACCATTCCTTGACCAAATATGTTAGTCGCCAAAAGTAACCTTCCCTAACCAAACTTGTTAGTCGCTAAAAGTAATGTTTACCCGACTAAAACTTTAGTCGACAATAGACCTATTCGTGACCAAACTCTTTGGTTGCCAAAATTAATAATTTTACCGACTAATTATTTAGTCGCCAAATGTTCCCTTTCGCCTACCAACATTTTGGTCGCCAAATGTGAGTGGTGATACATCGACTAACAACTTTAGTTGGTAAAAGTATTGCTTTTCTTTCTTGACTAATCACTTGGTCGCCAAAAAAGGAAAAACAAAACGAATGTTTCGTTGACAATTCAATTCTTTTTGTTTATCAAAATATAATAATTCATCAAATTCATTCAATATAACCTGTAATTTGCAAGAATCATTCAAACCAACAAAATCAACTGAATCATGAACATCTAACAAAATACATAAACCATCCAATCTTCAATCTGTTTAATTAAAATCTTCAACTATTATAAGGTTTCATCCACAAGTAATTCCATACTACATAATCATCCAATTAAAAATATAATGTAATCTATATAATCATCCAATTCACATTGATATGGCATACAAATTTAAAACATAACAAGTACTTGTTATTATGTTTTAAATATTTATCAATGCGCTTCTATCAAAAAATATAACTAGTAGTCTACCCAAATATTTTTCATATATAGTTATACAAAAATATATAATTCTTCAAAAAATGTAACATGTGCCAGCTAGTTCTGTACAATTTAGCTTCGTGCACAAGTTCATACATCTAAACAAAAGAAAAAAGAAAAATAATGTCAAGTAATTTTTTTTATCAAGGTTATAAGTGCATCAAATGATTGTAAAATTGGACAAAAAATGAAAAAGGTCAATAAAAAGTAAAGGTATATCATTTTGTAAATAAAACAACAACATTCATATGTATATATTCAATCAACATTACAATTCTATTAATATCAATGCACCACACTCAGAAAAATTCCAATAGTAATAGATGTATGACTCGCAAATTAAATGGTATATAAAAAAAGAAAAAAAGAAAAACGAAATAAGCTCCACATTGATCCAGTACTCACAGGCTTCCAAAAAGCTTTATCTATACACTTGCTACAACCAACAAAAGATTCTTCATATTTAAAAGAAAACTTCCCATAGTGGATATAATAATTCTAACAATTCAAACATTATCTCCATCACAAAGCTGATTTAATAAATATATACAATTTAAAAATTCCATCTAATTATCCAAAGGTTTACAAGGCAGAGACTTCATAGTCATCGTTTGCGTGAAACATTCACTAAAACATGATCTCATAATATATGCATATATTTAAAGTGTATATTTATATGCATAGTGATCCTTGATCTTTGCTTAGTACATGAGTCCAAAGACATGGAGATCTCTACTAAAACACATGGTTGTGTCTAATTACACAAAGCCTAGTAAAGACAAAGGCTCTATAGTCGTGCACAGGTAGGAGAATGCATTTAGTTTCTCAATCAATGCTTGCATTTGGGTTTTATACCTCATTTTGCAATAATTGGACAACATATGTGAATATTTGATCTACCAAGTTAGCTACTATGACCTGCACATTACAGGACTAGTGATGTTTAAATACAATTTATATATGTATATATATATATATATATATGAATATAACCGATGTATAAGAGGTACTTTGAAGCTTGAAATGCCATTAAAAATGAAGTAACTCCAAGCGGATGATATAACCAGAGTAGTTCTGGCAACTATCAGTCACACCTATGAACAAGCACAAATCGTTAGAAAATTCCCAAAGCCTAATCGTAATCGCTTGGTTTGGTTTTGGTTTGGTTTGTTCTTTAGATAGACAACATTGCACATGGACAATTTTATGCTCTACATGTTAAGCAGTTTGTGTTTCCTACAAAAAAAGGAAAATGATTCACAAATAATTTTTTTCCGTCTTCGCCCTTCACAACATCACTTTAAAATAAATAGGTAATCTATGTGGCCATGCTCTTTCCTGACCACTAGGCATTTTGAGAATGCAGTGTGGGGTAGAGGCAAATTATGAACCTAAAATTGTTGAAAATTTAATATATATATTTCATCAAATATATATATATATATATTACTGGAAATTCTTATTTGGATGCTAATGCTACTTGAGTATCCAAAACTAGACTTTCTCTGTTTTGTGCATTACCACATTGTGCATGGACACGCAATACTCCTATGCTAGTGCACACATACAAATGCTCTAATGGACAGGTACATTTGTGATTTTGATATTTGTTTATTTATTTGTTTTGGCTGAAGGTACCAGGTGTGCCTGTGATATTTGGTATGCAAAATGCCTAGTGCACACACTCAATATTTGGCATTTTCCATACATTTGCAAAATGTTGGGATAATGTTTGAGATCATCATTGATGATGGGAGTACAATGAGGGTGATGCTATGGTACATTTGGATGTACCATACATCAGTTATGAGATTATGTGATTTGATATCATAACTAATATCATATAAATCATAAATATTCTCATATTAACTCATAACTTAGTTATATTTAGTTATTTATATATACCCTATTATCTCATAACTACCATATAACTAAATTAGTTTAATAATTTAATTTTGAATTGACAACCGGTGTAACCGGTTGCCAAACAAGCAAAGTAATCAGAATTCCAAGAGTCCCAAGTCAGTTGCCTCCCTCTCTTGCTCTGGTTCGTGCTCTTGCTCCTCTTCTCCTCCCTCCTCTCTTCCACCATAGCCGAAGCTGCAGCGATTGTCGAAGTCCAACGGTCAAGCGTCGGGGCCACCATTCTTCAACTTTCTCTTCTCTTCCACCATAGCGAGCGAAGAACGATTGGCCTCTCTCTCTTGCTCTTCACCTTTCTCTTCTCTTCCACCATAGCCGAAGCTTCCGCGATGGCCAAAGACCACCAGCCCCGTCGGTGATCCACGCCACCGTTGTTGAAATCTTCTTCACAAGCCATCACTCTGTTCCCATCTCCACCATGGGTTTGTCAGCAAATATTTTCCCTTCTAGTCGAATTGAAAATTTACAAGAGCTCTCTTCTGTAGGTCAGGTATGTTCCTATTTACAACCACTTAAGATAGCTGTGCCATTGGGGCTTTGATTTCAAAACCCTAACCCTTATTGAATATCTAATATTAAGGTTTGTTCTCAATCAAAATTAACATCTGTAACCACCCAAGATAGGGCTTTGATTTCAAAACCCTAACCCTAAAAAGTGAATAGCTGATGATATTAAGTTTTGTTCTGTCACGCCCCAAACTCGCCCCTAAAAGTTCGGGCATGACCCATACAGAAACGGACACTTAACCTGTTATACGTAATATATGGGGCCTTGGCGGAAGCACTAAAATTTAACATAATAACAAACTCCATTGAGCTACCTCTAATATGCCAGGATCACATGCATCATATACATTATAATAACCAGTCACAGGCCAAAATTATACTGTGAGCATCAGTCATATAGATATACATATACAGCCCCAGCCCTAAGATTGGGCATATGCAAAAACATTGAAGTCATGTACATTTAACCTTAAATGAGTAATCAAAAAAAAACATGACAATGTCTTAACAAAGCTTCACAAAACTGAGTGATCTCGCTTAGTGCCTGGACTCGTAAAGGTTGACAAAAGGGGACGAACGTCCTGGTTGGTTACCTACAGGAACAGACATACGGAGGGTGAGCCAAGCTCAGTGAATAGTAATACATAAATAAAATACTGCTTAACTTGAAACATTGTATAATAGAAATACACATGGATTCGTAACATCTCAATATTTATTGAACCATAAATTGTGTCTAATATGCTTTGGAAATAAGTGAGGATAGACATACGAACTAAATGCAACTTTTCAAATGTTCCTGAAAATGGGTCTCCGCTCGAGCGGACCATGCAATTTCTAAAATTCTACAATGCCAAGTAAAGTTCCAACCTGGTATTCAAAGCTTCAAACATGTACTTTCGTATACTAATGCAGCATTCACAATGCGAGTCTGAATCTGTTCTTATTCATTATAGACTTAGATCTTATCATGAAACATATTGGCTTGAATATAATGGTTTGGATTAATATCCTTGTATAATGTGGCACAAACCCTTAATCATGGTGGCACGAAGCCCATTAACATAGTGGCGCACATCGATGACGGGTTTGAAAGACCAGAAAACAAAGTAGAAGACGGGTATAATGGTTGCATGCCCGGTATATCTATGCTTCCATGTCACGATGGTGCCAGGATTAGATGTCTGTAATACATGCATGAATTTAGGCAATTGCCTGTATGATTCATCCTAATCACCGAATACCATTTTAATTGCCTTTGCCCTTGCATGCCACGCCTTCTTGTATGATATACTATAGTTCATGGTCTTTTTTATATCTTCGATGACATTCTTAATCTGCATATCAGGTTCATTCTGCATACGACAATCAAATATGAGTTGGATTATCTAGATGTGAACACTATAAACAAACAAATATGTATGTATATGTAAACATTTATTTTTTATACTAACCGCAACTTGTCCCAAAATATGAGAAGCAATGTAATTGGAGCTAATATTAGTGTGGTCCCTGTTCATTCGTGGGTATAAACAATGGTGAGGACCCCTGTACTGCTTTATTTCAAAAAGACCATGTTTCCTACTAAGAGATGCACGCAACCACCAACTACAGTCGTGCTTGCAAGCAGATACCCAAAGGTCTCACTTGGAGGTTACGACCTTATACTCTCGATTATTTGTTGCATGGTACAATTTCACAGCATATAAAAGTTGCTTCTTATCAACAAAAACCATTCTTCTGTCCAACTCTGGATTTTCAGCACTCCAGATCCTGTTACGGGGAACGACATCACAGGTACTAATGTCAAAATCACCACCCATGTGAATGTTGTCATAGAAAGGGATTTCAACTCTAGGTGGAATGGGGGCATTTTCAGGTTGAACGGGAGCCTGGGCATCATATTCTTCATCATCATCATCATCTGATCAACCAACAAATTTTATATGTTTTTGTTTGTTGCAATACCTAGGGGTGAGCATGGTCCGGATTGGACCGGATTGGGATAAAACCAGGACCAATCCGTTATCTACGGTTCCTGAAGAATCGGAACCAATCCGATCCGTTTAAATCTTGGAACCAATCCGAACCAATCCATTTCAACACGGATTGGATCGGTTTAGGACCACGGATTCACATAATTAAATAACAAAAAATATATATATATATATAATACTTTAATTTTATAAAAATATAAACATAGCGCTATATTAGTTCTACAATAGCTGTGTCATGTTCGGGATATTGTGTACAATCTCTTTATCAATGTAGACTTCCAAACAATTTGGTGCTTGAAAACTTGCACCGATACTTAATACGGTGTTCAACGCCTCATCGTCATTGATCGGTAATATCTTGTATTTGTTGTGTGCTTGCCACTGGCGATAAGGATATCTACATTTGAAGGTCAATCGGACACTTTTCCCGTAACTTGCCACCTTTGACGTAAATATCTCCTCCAAATTGCTAAGCGTGGTGCCAATTTGCACCGCATATATCCCTTTCGGCTCAGCATCATATGACACACCTTCATCAGGATCCCGAATTATGTTTCCCCCCCAGTAGAAAATAATTGGAACAGTCTCCATATACTTGCTTCAATTAAGACAAAAAACATTAAAATAGCAACAATATACTTATATCTCCTTGTACTTGTAAAAGAATTATATGAAATTATACTCATTCAATTACAATTACTTGTGATGCAAAAACTTTATTTAAGTAATCATCAATTATAATCCAACATTCATTATTGATTTTTTAATTAAGATATGAGTTAAAATAATGATAATGGTTTAGATTTTTTAGCTTTTTAAGAAATACATCTTACAACTTATGAAAAAATTAACATCATCCTCTTATGCTATGCTTTTTACATTACTTATTATGATTAAGATCATGCTCTTGTGCACATTAAATGTAATTCAGCTAAATTTTAGGTCAAAAAACAGCTTTATTAATTTTGGATTAATTTTGTATAAATTAGAAAGTAACAACATTTGTAATCATTAAATAAATATAATTTTATTTGTGTGATGAACATCTTAATTTTATAAGGACTTGTTATTTTACTTCTGAAGTTGTAATTTAAAATTTATCAAAAATGTCTGTGTTACATGGATTCTTGAAAACAAATCAAATAACCATATCAGACACTTGACACCTAAATAAGTGTATCATATGTATGGTCGATACTTCTCATCAGGTATGCACATATCCACGATTTTAGCCAAACAAAATTTTGTTCTGAACTCACTGTTATAAACCACGATTTAAGCCAAAAAATTTTTTCTTCTGAATTCGCTGTTATAAACCACGATTTTATCCACAAAAAAAAAGGACTTGTGTACTCAAAACATATATATTAAAATGTGATCAGAACATCACTTATGTTGTTGGTAGCTCAAGTGGTAGTGCAATGGTGATGCCCAGGCAGAGGCGTGGGTTCAAACCACGCCAACTCCTTCTCAATTTTCAAACAACTACCTCGGCATCACCATTGCACTACCACTTCAGCTACCAACAACATAAGTGATGCTTTGTTCACATTTTAATATATATGTTTTGAGTACACCAGTCTTTTTTTTTTTTTTGGATAAAGTCATGGTTTATAACAGCGAGTTCAGAAGAAAAATAATTTTGGCTAAAATCGTGGTTTATAACAACGAGTCAAGAAGAAAATTTTTTTTGGCTAAAATCGTGGTTCAGAATAGCGAGTTCATAATAAATTTTTTTTAATTAAAAGCGCGTTTTGTAACCGCAATTTTTTAATCAAAATCGCGTTTTGTAACCACGATTTTAAGATTTTCCAAATTCCACGCGGGATAGGCCCAGAAATGTTGAAATCGTGGTTGTGAACCGCGAGTTAGCTTATTTTGGGAATTCTTTCAAAACTAGGCTTAGTTTGGGAATTGAATTAGTATTTTGACTTATTTTGGGAAATGGCCCTAGGTTGTGACCTTATATAAATTATAAAGTGTTGGTAAACTTGATTTATACATAAAGAAATTTGATTTATACATATTCGTGACCACGCTTGTAAGTAAAATATGTAAAAACGTGTTTTCAAAACACATTTTGAACAAAAATTCAAAACCAGCACTCCCTCTTATTTGTCACAGACACTGACACTCACTCTCTCTATCTCTCTGTCTGACACAGACACCAACAACACTTGCACTCACATGAAACATATATAATTTTTAATATATATAAATTTTATTTTATACAATTCAGAACAATTAATTTTTTTTAATTTAATTTATCTTTTTAAATAATTTATTTTTCAAATTATTTTTATTTTTTTC